GAATGAGAGGCTGCAACATCACTTTAACTGACTTATGGCGCGTTTCCACTACAGCGTGGAGCACGGTTTAAGAGGGCTGTGACGTCAGCGGCCCGTTTTTGGTTGCGTTTCCACTTGGCCTAGTACCGGCCGGCGGGTCCTAATTCACAGTTTTTCTGGCCTCATAAAATCGTGGGTCTAGGGCCAGAGACAACGAGGCTGAGTATGCTAAACTAGAGAGAGAATCGCTGGCAAGGGGGCTACAACTACAACTACAACAAGATGGACATATTTGACCGTGATTTAATTGTAATACACGTTTCAAAATGATGCCGAAGTAACAACATACTGATACCGGTTAGTAAAAACCGTGAATCGATGCTTTGACAAGTCTGCAGACAGACGGCAGGCGAAAAACCTTTTAAAATGCGTGTTTTCTAAATGGAGATTGGCTAAGCTAACTCAGTATATGCTCCGACCGTCCACACTCACAACAACGGCCTATACAGACATAAATAAAGCAGCGACTGTATTCGCCATGACACAGGCAGTCTGTGGTTTGTACTTGTTTAACTTTTGTCTAGTTTCTGAACATATATGAGGAGCTGTGAGCTCTGAGTGCTAACAGCTAACGGCTGTGTTGTTTTTCTGGGGTTCTCATTGAAGATGACGTCACGGCTCCGCCTACACTGCGTTACTATAGATACTACCCCAGTTCCTAAACTGTAATGGAAATGCGCCATAAAGTGAGCCAGTCCTAACGAGGCCTAGCCATACCGAGCGAGGCCGAGCGAGGCCGTGTAGTGGAAATGCGCCATAAAACACTGACATGTCCGAGTGAAGGGTGCACTATTTAACCAGGCTGTTTGGTGCATTTAAGAGTGGAATGGTCATTTGGTTCCTAAAACAGTGGGTGTTTCTCAATGTCAAGGAAAGCTGCTCCAGTGCCACTATTTCAAGGATGCTACGTCATCAAGTCCCGCCGAAGGACTGTTCCATTGTCCAGGCTCCTTGGAATTCTACCGAGCCCGGCGTCCTTCGTAGCGAGACATTTCGAGGCTGCACATGTGTATCCTCCGCGGTCTTAAAATCCCCACAATGCTTTGCGCACGGACCAATTTCCCAAAATCTGTGGCGGAAAATGTAAGGCGGGGCCTCTCATATGATGCACACTTGCTCGCCTGTTCCACTCTTTGTTTTCCGAATGCCAGGAAGGATTCTTGCCTAGCTTCTGAAGGAAGTGACTCGGAAGACATGTCCTACCAAGGAAGCGTCCTCGACAGTGTTTCCGCCAGACCAGGGCTGAGAGGGCGTCCACCCCGAGAGCAGGGGGGGGTGCTTGTATTTTGACTTGAGCCGACCCTTATAGATACTGTCTTTTTACGTTAGTGAGCCGGATCATTTGGCTCGGCTCTCTTACGGCCCCTACACACGGCGGCGTGCGGTGACTCTTCAACGCTTCTGCCCATTCACTTTGAATGGGGTGACGTCACGATTCGCCGAACTGCATTCTGGGAGCAAAGCGTAGCTTTCCTCGCGGTGCTCGCTGCAAAAGTAGAGCAATGTTCTACTTTTGAAGCTGAGGCGGAGGCGGCAGCCAATCAAATCCCGCGTATGCAAATCTGACAGTTCACGCGCTAGCCAATCAAACCGCGTGTATGCTGGGAGAGCCAGACCGCAGTTCATTTCCTCATATGCCAAAAAATTGAGGAGAAAATAATCGGAGCGGTAAGGAATTACCCGGTGCTTTCAGTCCCTGTTCACCTACCGGGATACAAACCGGAGGAGCCAGGCATGGAGGGAGGTGGTAGAGACAGTGGGTGAAACTGGTAGGTTTTCGCCTGTTTGGGGAGTTTATATCCAGTGTACTTCGTTTGAATGGACAGCAGGCATAGACAGTATATTTAGCCACCATGCAATGTTGCATAAAATAGCACCATAGACATTAATTAAAAATCGCTTTTTAGACATTAATGTCTATGGTGAGATTCATACACGGGAGCCTTTTTAAAGCCTTTTTACCCCGCTGCAAACAGAACCCCCCCCCCCCCCCCCCCCCCCCCCCCCTTCCCATCACAAACTTTACACAGATCCCCCCTTCCAATTATCAACTCCTGTCTTGTTTCCGCAAACTCTTGTGTCCTGCAGCAGCTAAACGTTTTGCAAGCCCCTGTTCGTTTAGTACCTAAAATAATAGACATCGCTTTTTCCAGCTGACAAACCCGACTTTCTGGTCACTTCTTCAATTTTCCAGCCCTTGGGGAGAGACACGGGAGATTCATGTGATTGGTTGTTGGTCGCGTTGCTCGCGTAAACTCCCCAAGCTCAAGACACGCCCACCGCCAAGCGGCAACGCACGCCGCCGTGTGTAGGCTGCGTTAAAGCGCCGGCTGTTTCGGCTCCCAAACAGCTCTTCATGTTACCACAGTTTACCACGGAGCCTCAGTTTTTTCGCTGCGAGGCTCTGGTGCTCGCAGCTCACGCGCATGCTCCACTAGCACCCCCCCGCTCATCGCGTCCAAATCGTGCACATTCCGTGTTGTCCTGTAGCAGGCACCGCCGATGTCGGGGAAACGATCTTCAATACTCCGAAAATAATCCCACCAGACTCCTTTGCCCCTCCAACACAGGGATATCCTTGTCCTTTTTCCTTTTCGTTATTTCAAGCGATAAAAACTCTTGATCTTCTCTCGAATTATTAATATTTTTGGACGCCCTCGGCTCGAGTTCAGGGCATCCCGAGCTGAATAAGGGCGTCAAATGACGGCAAGACGCCCCCCTGGCGGAAACGCTGGTCCTCGACATTGAGAAACACCCAGTGTGTCCTGATGCTCTTCTAGATAATCATACATCCTGTTACATACACAGCTACGTAGGGCCTTTGTTATCATGTGCTACTCTAATATTGGAAGAGCATATTCAGTATTTTCCCAACAGCTTTATTGTCCGATCTCAAGTCATCTTTGTTTCAATTTTTTGGGCTTTTATTTTGAAAGTTCTTATGCATTGGTGGTTCAGTGGTAGAATTCTCGCCTGCCACGCCCGGGTTCGATTCCCGGCCAATGCAACACATTGTTTTAGGCATGGCGGGATGAATGAGAGGCTGCAACATCACTTTAACTGACTTAAACACTGACATATCCGAGTGAAGGGTGCACTATTTAACCAGGCTGTTTGGTGCATTTAATGGCGCGTTTCCACTACACGGCCTCGCTCGGTATGGCTAGGCCTCGTTAGGACTGGCTCACTTTATGGCGCATTTCCATTACAGTTTAGGAACTGGGGTAGTATCTATAGTAACGCAGTGTAGGCGGAGCCGTGACGTCATCTTCAATGAGAACCCCAGAAAAACAACACAGCCGTTAGCTGTTAGCACTCAGAGCTCACAGCTCCTCATATATGTTCAGAAACTAGACAAAAGTTAAACAAGTACAAACCACAGACTGCCTGTGTCATGGCGAATACAGTCGCTGCTTTATTTATGTCTGTATAGGCCGTTGTTGTGAGTGTGGACGGTCGGAGCATATACTGCGTTAGCTTAGCCAATCTCCATTTAGAAAACACGCATTTTAAAAGGTTTTTCGCCTGCCGTCTGTCTGCAGACTTGTCAAAGCATTAATTCATGGTTTTTACTAACCGGTATCAGTATGTTGTTACTTCGGCATCATTTTGAAACGTGTATTACAATTAAATCACGGTCAAATATGTCCATCTTGTTGTAGTTGTAGCCCCCTTGCCAGCAATTCTCTCTCTAGTTTAGCATACTCAGCCCGACTCAGCCTCGTTGTCTCTGGCCCTAGACCCACGATTTTATGAGGCCAGAAAAACTGTGAATTAGGACCCGCCGGCCGGTACTAGGCCAAGTGGAAACGCAACCAAAAACGGGCCGCTGACGTCACAGCCCTCTTAAACCGTGCTCCGCGCTGTAGTGGAAACGCGCCATAAGAGTGGAATGGTCATTTGGTTCCTAAAACAGTGGGTGTTTCTCAATGTCAAGGAAAGCTGCTCCAGAGCCACTATTTCAAGGATGCTACGTCATCAAGTCCCGCCGAAGGACTGTTCCATTGTCCAGGCTCCTTGGAATTCTACTGAGCCCGGCGTCCTTAGTAGCGAGAAATTTCGAGGCTGCACATGTGTATCCTCCGCGGTCTTAAAATCCCCACATTGCTTTGCGCACGGACCAATTTCCCAAAATCTGTGGCGGAAAATGTAAGGCGGGGCCTCTCATATGATGCACACTTGCTCGCCTGTTCCACTCTTCGTTTTCCGAATGCCAGGAAGGATTCTTGCCTAGCTTCTGAAGGAAGTGACTCTGAAGACATTTCCTACCATGGAAGCGTCCTCGACAGTGTTTCCGCCAGACCAGGGCTGACAGGGCGTCCACCCCGAGAGCGGGGGTGCTTGCATTTTGACTTGAGCCGACCCTTATAGATACTGTCTTTTTACGTTAGTGAGCCGGATCATTTGGCTCGGCTCTCTTAAAGCGCCGGCTATTTCGGATCCCAAACAGCTCTTCATGTTACCACAGTTTACCACGGAGCCTCAGTTTTTCCGCTGCGAGGCTCTGGTGCTCGCAGCTCACACGCATGCTCCACTAGCACTCCGAAAAGAATCCCACCAGACTCCTTTGCCCTTCCAACATAGGGATATCCTTGTCCTTTTTCCTTTTCGTTATTTCAAGCGATAAAAACTCTTGATCTTCTCTCGAATTATTAATATTTTTGGACGCCCTCGGCTCGAGTTCAGGGCGTCCCGAGCTGAATAAGGGCGTCAAATGACGGCAAGACGCCCCCCTGGCGGAAACGCTGGTCCTCAACATTGAGAAACACCCAGTGTGTCCTGATGCTCTTCTAGGTAATCATACATCCTGTTACATACACAGCTACGTAGGGCCTTTGTTATCATGTGCTACTCTAATATTGGAAGAGCATATTCAGTATTTTCCCCAACAGCTTTATTGTCAGATCTCAAGCCATCTTCTTTGTTTCAATTTTTCGGGCTTTTATTTTGAAACGTTTTATGCATTGGTGGTTCAGTGGTAGAATTCTCGCCTGCCACGCGGGGGCAAAGGCCCGGGTTCGATTCCCGGCCAATGCAACACATTCTTTTAGGCATGGCGGGATGAATGAGAGGCTGCGACATCTAGGGCTGCAACAAACGACTAATTTGATAATCGATTAATCTATCGATTAATGAAACTATTAATCGACTATTCGGACTATTATGCCTTGCACATTTTCTCAAACGCTCTTATTTAGCCATCAACTTTTAGATTTAGCTTGAGGTTGTTTTAGGCATGTGGAAGCTAACAATGAAGACAATAAAGTATTTTTGAATACTTGATTCAAAAATACATATATTATTAAATGAACTTAACAAATTGTGAACAAAATTAACATTGCTTTTTATTTAAATTAAATAAATAATATTTCACATCAAAAGAAACAACAATGTTTTAACAAATCGTATTAAATAATGTGGTAACAGAATTGTGAACAGAATAGCTGAAACTTTAACAAAATAAATAACTCTGTTACCTCTAATCATTAACCCATGTTTGTATAATTTTGTTAACTCCGTGTGTTGCTGACGTGGAAAAGTTATTCGTGGATGGGGGGGCTACAGAGCTACTAGAAAGACAGTCAAACCCGGTGCATTTCTCCGTCTGAATGTGGTGCACTTTTGCTAAATGTTTAGAAAAATTGCTCGTGTTACCGCCCTTACATGCTAAACTCTTATTGCACTATTGGCAACGAGCATTGTCCACCTCAAGATGGGTAACATTTAACCACACCTTGGAGCGCTTCTCTCCGCCATCCCCGCCGTGTGTTGCATGCATGTAGCAGCCGCGGGTGTGTAAACTGCCCCGCTTCGTAGGGCCTTAGTTATCATTTGCTACTCTAATATTGGAAGAGCATATTCAGTATTTTCCCAACAGCTTTATTGTCAGATCTCAAGCCATCTTCTTTGTTTCAATTTTTCGGGCTTTTATTTTGAAACGTTTTATGCATTGGTGGTTCAGTGGTAGAATTCTCGCCTGCCACGCGGGAGGCCCGGGTTCGATTCCCGGCCAATGCAACACATTCTTTTAGGCATGGCGGGATGAATGAGAGGCTGCGACATCTAGGGTTGCAACAAACGACTAATTTGATAATCGATTAATCTATCGATTAATGAAACTATTAATCGACTATTCGGACTATTATGCCTTGCACATTTTCTCAAACGCTCTTATTTAGCCATCAACTTTTAGATTTAGCTTGAGGTTGTTTTAGGCATGTGGAAGCTAACAATGAAGACAATAAAGTATTTTTGAATACTTGATTCAAAAATACATATATTATTAAATGAACTTAACAAATTGTGAACAAAATTAACATTGCTTTTTATTTAAATTAAATAAATAATATTTCACATCAAAAGAAACAACAATGTTTTAACAAATCGTATTAAATAATGTGATAACAGAATTGTGAACAGAATAGCTGAAACTTTAACAAAATAAATAACTCAGTTACCTCTAATCATTAACCCATGTTTGTATAATTTTGTTAACTCCGTGTGTTGCTGACGTGGAAAAGTTATTTGTGGATGGGGGGGCTACAGAGCTACTAGAAAGACAGTCAAACCAAGTGCATTTCTCCGTCTGAATGTGGTGCACTTTTTCTAAATGTTTAGACAAATTGCTCGTGTTACCGCCCTTACATGCTAAACTCTTATTGCACTATTGGCAACGAGCATTGTCCACCTCAAGATGGGTAACATTTAACCACACCTTGGAGCGCTTCTCTCCGCCATCCCCGCCGTGTGTTGCATGCATGTAGCAGCCGCGGGTGTGTAAACTGCCCCGCTTCGTAGGGCCTTAGTTATCATTTGCTACTCTAATATTGGAAGAGCATATTCAGTATTTTCCCAACAGCTTTATTGTCAGATCTCAAGCCATCTTCTTTGTTTCAATTTTTCGGGCTTTTATTTTGAAACGTTTTATGCATTGGTGGTTCAGTGGTAGAATTCTCAGGCCCGGGTTCGATTCCCGGCCAATGCAACACATTCTTTTAGGCATGGCGGGATGAATGAGAGGCTGCGACATCTAGGGCTGCAACAAACGACTAATTTGATAATCGATTAATCTATCGATTAATGAAACTATTAATCGACTATTCGGACTATTATGCCTTGCACATTTTCTCAAACGCTCTTATTTAGCCATCAATTTTTAGATTTAGCTTGAGGTTGTTTTAGGCATGTGGAAGCTAACAATGAAGACAATAAAGTATTTTTGAATACTTGATTCAAAAATACATATATTATTAAATGAACTTAACAAATTGTGAACAAAATTAACATTGCTTTTTATTTAAATTAAATAAATAATATTTCACATCAAAAGAAACAACAATGTTTTAACAAATCGTATTAAATAATGTGATAACAGAATTGTGAACAGAATAGCTGAAACTTTAACAAAATAAATAACTCAGTTACCTCTAATCATTAACCCATGTTTGTATAATTTTGTTAACTCCGTGTGTTGCTGACGTGGAAAAGTTATTCGTGGATGGGGGGGCTACAGAGCTACTAGAAAGACAGTCAAACCAAGTGCATTTCTCCGTCTGAATGTGGTGCACTTTTTCTAAATGTTTAGACAAATTGCTCGTGTTACCGCCCTTACATGCTAAACTCTTATTGCACTATTGGCAACGAGCATTGTCCACCTCAAGATGGGTAACATTTAGGGATGTCCCGATCCGATCACGTGATCGGGGATCGGAGCCGATCACGTGATTTTCACGTGATCGGGGATCGGGAGAAAAAAATCGGGGATCGGAATTTTTTTTTTTTTTTTTTTATAAAATATTTTTATACATTTTATTTAATGTTACAAAACAAAAATGACCATGTTCACGTCTTAAAGTCATCCTGAGGCCTTAGTTTTGGGTTAAAATTACACAACATCATGTATGTGTTGCTTCTTTTGGGCTTGTTTTCATAGACCTGGTTGCTTATTTCTCTCAAATCTGGCAACAGAGTGGGCGCAGTGTCTAATAGTAGCAGTAAGCTAACAAGAGGCTACGTTCAGCTGGTGACTCGGGAGTCGGGACAGAGAAAATGTCAGGAGTTTGGAAGTATTATAAATTGAAAGCGAAGGCAGTGTAACAGCCAGATGCAATGTTTGCAAGGCGGAGGTTCCGCGTGGTGGAAAGAACAGAGCTACGTTCAACATGACCAATCTAATACAAACACCACCAACAACAACACGACGAGTACACAGCGGCCACTCAGGTAACGGCACTGAAACAACCGACACTTTCAGAGACTTTTAAAAGGAAAGAGGAACTACCCCAGAACAGTGAAAAGGCCAAAAAAATAACAGCCAAGATAGCTGAATTCATCGCGTTGGATGACCAGCCGTTATCTGTTACCTTTTTTTTCCTCTTAATGCATTGCATAAAGATCGGATCGGGAAAAATCGGTATCGGCAGATTGTCAAAATCAAATGATCGGAATCGGATCGGGAGCAAAAAAAGGTGATCGGGACATCCCTAGTAACATTTAACCACACCTTGGAGCGCTTCTCTCCGCCATCCCCGCCGTGTGTTGCATGCATGTAGCAGCCGCGGGTGTGTAAACTGCCCCGCTTCGTAGGGCCTTAGTTATCATTTGCTACTCTAATATTGGAAGAGCATATTCAGTATTTTCCCAACAGCTTTATTGTCAGATCTCAAGCCATCTTCTTTGTTTCAATTTTTCGGGCTTTTATTTTGAAACTTTTTATGCATTGGTGGTTCAGTGGTAGAATTCTCGCCTGCCACGCGGGAGGCCCGGGTTCGATTCCCGGCCAATGCAACACATTGTTTTAGGCATGGTGGGATGAATGAGAGGCTGCGACATCACTTTAACTGACTTAAACACTAGGCACGTTCACACCAAGTACTTTTCCCACAATAGTTCATGAGAACTCTTTTAGTTCTGATGAACTAAAGCAGATCGCGTTCACACCGAAATTAGTTCCTGGGGGTGGATTAGGCAAATGAAGCCGCTGACGTGACTTCTTCTTCTTCTGCTTTGGGTTTACTGGCAGGCCGCAAACAACTTCACGGCGAGTACAGTAGGTGGCGGTATGCACCTTAAAGTTGCAATCCGCCAAAAAAAACGACATAAGAAAAACCTCCCGCGTATACTGCCACGCCCACCTGCTGTATATGAGGCGTAGAAATGAGCTTCGTCTGAGTTATTTAAGCAAACACAAATACAGATCGTCGACCAGTCAAATGCAATAGCAATGCTGATTCGGAAGCGAAGGCGGTTAAGAAGGATTGACAAAAGGATTGGACGACGACATGCACGCGCTATGGATTGCGTAACCTGTGTGAAATGAATAGACTGTGCCAGGTGTGTCGTATGCACAGTAAATAGGCTCAGCAGTTAACACACCTTTATTATATATCCTCCTGAGAGCAACTGCATCCGTCTGCCATGAACCCTACAGAAACCTACGTGTTAGTTTTGGCCCATAGTGGCCTCCATTTGTGTCGTGTAAAATGGGGGAAATAAAAAGTTAGCAAATCCCCATGTCCTCCTCAGAGGACATTCATAAAAACTAGGGATGCTCCGATCGATCGGTCACCGATCGAGATCTGCCGATACTCACTCTCTACCGATTGATCGGTGCTCTCTAAACATGCCGATCGCGAAGGCCGATCTCATGATGTAAAATACATGACACTTTTCTCTGTACGCGGCAAAACAAGCTCGCCAAAATGGCTTCACCGGTCTGGCATTATTTTAAGGTGTCCGAAAAAGACAGTAAAATAGCGGTATGCAACGTGTGTGTGAAGCAGAAATCCTGCAGCTCCACCCGCTGTGACGGACCGGTGAGCGGAGCGAAACACACAAGAGTTAGACCTAACACACTTATGCCGCGTTTCCACTACAGCGCGGAGCACGGTTTAAGAGGGCTGTGACGTCAGCGGCCCGTCTTTGCTTGCGTTTCCACTTGGCCTAGTACCGGCCGGCGGGTCCTAATTCACAGTTTTTCTGGCCTCATAAAATCGCGGGTCTAGGGCCAGAGACAACGAGGCTGAGTCGGGCTGAGTATGCTAAACTAGAGAGAGCATCGCTGGCAACGGGGCTACAACTACAACAAGATGGACATATTTGACCGTGATTTAATTGTAATACACGTTTCAAAATGATGCCGAAGTAACAACATACTGATACCGGTTAGTAAAAACCATGAATTAATGCTTTGTCAAGTCTGCAGACAGACGGCAGGCGAAAAACCTTTTAAAATGCGTGTTTTTCTAAATGGAGATTGGCTAAGCTAACGCAATATATGCTCCGACCGTCCACACTCACAACAACGGCCTATACAGACATAAATAAAGCAGCGACTGTATTCACCATGACACAGGCAGTCTGTGGTTTGTACTTGTTTAACTTTTGTCTAGTTTCTGAACATATATGAGGAGCTGTGAGCTCTGAGTGCTAACAGCTAACGGCTGTGTTGTTTTTCTGGGGATCTCTGAAGATCACGTCACGGCTCCGCCTACACTGCGTTACTATAGATACTACCCCAGTTCCTAAACTGTAATGGAAATGCGCCATAAAGTGAGCCAGTCCTAACGAGGCCCAGCCATACCGAGCGGGGCAGAGCGAGGCCGTGTAGTGGAAACGCGCCATTAGCTATTTTATCGACCTCTGGAACAAGCTAAACTAGTTATAAATATGTTTATTCTTCACTGTCGGGTCTCTCATTACTGGATCAGTGAGCTGCAGGAGATACTGACGGGCTGTCAGGAGAGAGAGAGAGGGGGAGAGAGGAAAAGAGAGCGCTTCCGCTAATTTCTTCCGTGTTATTATCCCAAGTGAATGTAAACTTGAATAATGTACTTCATTTGAATGTAATAATTATGTTGGTTGGTTGGTTTGTGGAAGCGCCAGTGAATGAGCCCCATTAACTGAGTTTTAAACATCACTTTAAATGGAAGATCCCCATAGGCCCCGCCCACTCGATCGGATCGGCGATCGGTATCGGCCGATACTGATTCCGGCGATCGGCCCCAAAATTGGCGATCGGAGCATCCCTAATAATTGTATATGATATGTTTTATAATGATTGATCATTAAAGTGTTATCAAAGCTGGTAAAGGTGCAGCTAGTTTGAATGACTTTGTATACTGCAGGGTAGCTTGTGAATTTACTCCAGGTGGAACTAAAGTCTGATTTAACACTTGATTATATTTCACATCATTCATCCACATCTGTAAAGTAACTAAAGGTATTAAATACATGTAGTGGAGTAAAAGTACACCATTTACCTCTGACTTGTGTTTACTGCCAACCTAAAAGTACCTCAACAATAGTAATCAATAATGTATTGAAAAGTTATTTGGCTGATTGTTTTATATTGGCTCAGCCAGGTTATATGGGATGCCCAGTCTACGTACAGATGGGTCACTCATTTTGAAATATTAAACTTAGTTTTCTTTTCTAAAATTTTTTATTTTTCATCCTCATGTAGAATGCTATTATGAAACACACATTTGGTTGTTTATAGCATTAAGAACATCTGATTTAATGTAAGGTAGGGAAATAATCATTTGAGTATAAGTATGTGTATATAAATATGTAATTTACAACAGCTGTAAGATGCTTGAAAAGCTTGAAAATGCACCTTGAAAATGCTTGAAAAGTGCTTGAATTTGACTTTGGAAAAGGTGTAAGAACCCTGAAAATATCACTGCTTGGTCTTCAATATCAGGATACATGTATTTATTATCCTTGCAAGAATGGAAGTAGTCATCACATACAGAGCTGCATGGTAAAACTAGCTCTCCAAACAGTTTCCTTGACATGCTTGAACACTGACACACAAGAGAGGGTGTTATTCGGTCACAAGATGCAGAATACCAGTTCAAAGCAGTATTCAATGTTTAGTTCAGATTGGCTAAGGCCTGCGTAAGCAATAAACATGAGTCATATGTCTACCTCCATAAAGGCTGAATCATGTTAATCATTGTCACATAGCTATCATATTCCTAAAACAGTGTGTCCTGATGCTCTTCTAGGTAATCATACATCCTGTTACATACACAGCTGCGTAGGGCCTTTGTTATCATTTGCTACTCTAATATTGGAAGAGCACATTCAGTATTTTCCCAACAGCTTTATTGTCAGTTCTCAAGCCATCTTCATTGTTTCACTTTTCGAGGCTTTTATTTTGAAACTCTTTATGCATTGGTGGTTCAGTGGTAGAATTCTCGCCTGCCACGCGGGAGGCCCGGGTTCGATTCCCGGCCAATGCAACACATTGTTTTAGGCATGGTGGGATGAAATGAGAGACTGCGACATCACTTTAACTGACCTAAACACTGACATGTCAGAGTGAAGGGTGCACTTTTTAATCAGGCTGTTTGGTGCATTTAAGAGTGGAATGCTATGCTCTTTCTTTTCATTTATTACATCAAACTACTCAAGGATTTATGTTCAGATCTCAAACGTTTTCATTGTTTCAATTTCAAAGGCTTTTATTTTGAAAAGTTTTAAGCATTGGTGGTTCAGTGGTAGAATTCTCGCCTGCCAAGATATATTGGATCCGTAGTCATTTAGCACTACCATAGAGAATGAATGGGAAAGCGTTTAGGGAGTTTTAGCTAAAGAATCCATAGGTGCCGCGCGGGGGCAAGACGTGCTTAGGTGGCATAGAGTGACAGCCAATGCGCGACAGGAGGAGGAGGAGGAGGAGGAGGAGGAGGAGGAGGAGGAGGAGGAGGAGGAGGAGGAGGAGGAGGAGGAGGAGGAGGAGGAGGAGGAGGAGGAGGAGGAGGAGGAGGAGGAGGAGGAGGAGGAGGAGGAGGAGGAGGAGGAGGAGGAGGAGGAGGAGGAGGAGGAGGAGGAGGAGGAGTAAAAACACGGCAAATAATTACGATATTGTGTGTGAGATTTTGTGAAAATGATTTCTAGCAAGTACACATCCAAATGAGAAACATTCAAACACTTGAAGGTGCCTCAAAAATGTGATGTATTGTTATTATTACTCACTTTGTGTTGGTACAGCTGGTGGATGCAGTGTCGGTTGACAGGGCTCTGCAGAAATCTCAGGAGCCACTATAGAAAATATTAAAACATGTCATTATCAACAGTAAAATAAAGAAATAATGTTGTATGACGCTTAGCATCTTCACTGTAGTCAGCAAACTGTACAAGGTGCAAAGAGTCAAACATATACACACCTGGAACAGTGATGTTGGTCTCTGTTGGTGTTGGGGCGGATGGTTCCGGCATCAGAAACATCAGCTCCTTTGGTAGGGGCACAAGTCTCTTTACAGGAAGAGCAGGGGCTGCATGGAGGGATAGCCAAAAGATTTTTGCATTTTATCTGTCAAGAAGAAAATATATATCAGTGAGTTAATGATGTTCACAGGTGGGGTCTAATAGAGAGCAGACTTTAACTGTCTGCACATTCACATTGTGCTATGATATATGTAGTGCTATTTTACTTTGGATCAGATATTGTTGATCTTTGTTCCTGTATGTCTGGAGCTGTGTGTTTGTTGAAACTATTTACACTTCCATTACCCCTCCCCCATGGGTCAAACCCTTTTAACTAACAAAGGGAGCTCAGCCAAGGCTGAATGATATATTAGATAAATAATTACTAAGTAGTAGATGAATGTTATGGATGTGGTTTCAACAGTTCTGGTGTTTAGCAGTGTGTGTGTGTGTGTCTGCATCTATTATGTATATTTAACCCCGTCTGGGCAACGGCACAGCTGAATATACATAATACTTTTTTATCCAAAAGTAAACTGCTGTTAACTTGTCCCCACGCTGTGTTTTGTAACAGTGATGGGTTAGTATATCTAACCCCGGTTTATTGGAAAATAATACGGGAGTTAATGGTAATCTTACATGGTAGTTAGCGTTAATTTATATATTTAAATATACATTAATGTAAACGCGCACGGAGGATTTCGCCACAAGTAACTCGCGGTAATTGCGCCTCACCAAGTCAACAAAAACACAATAAACTCACACAGAAATCCTACCACATGAACTTTAAGCGGCTTAAGTTGAATTAACTTTACATTAACAATGTAATTCATCCCAAAGTACCGTTAGACTCGATACACGTAGGAAACACGGACCACTTTATAGCGTATTTTATTTTATATTTAAACTAAAACACGTCAGACAAAGCCCAGATAACATAACATTACATGTCGCTTCTCTGTTAATTCATGTTAATATAACTTAACTTACCTTATAATTTGGTCGTAATGTCCAGAGTTGAAAAATATGTATGCATTTACGTCGCTGTGAAGGCGGGGGGATGAGCAGACAGGGTCTCACTGGCAAAAGTGCGCCACAGCGCCACTCGCGGCAGCGGCCAAATATATATGACATCGGCTCTGGTTCAACAGTGCCATAGAGAATGAATGGGACTGGTTTGTTGCTTCCATTAAAGATTCATGAAAGAATCCCTGCGCGGGGGGTTCAGGCAAGACGTGCTTAGGTGGCATAGAGTGACAGCCAATGCGCGACGTGCGGAGGAGGAGGAGGAGGAGGAGGAGGAGGAGGAGGAGGAGGAGGAGGAGGAGGAGGAGGAGGAGGAGGAGTAAAAACACGGCAAATAATTACGATATTGTGTGTGAGATTTTGTGAAAAATGATTTCTAGCAAGTACACATCCAAATGAGAAACATTCAAACACTTGAAGGTGCCTCAAAAATGTGATGTATTGTTATTATTACTCACTTTGTGTTGGTGCAGCTGGTGGATGCAGTGTCGGTTGACAGGGCTCTGCAGAAATCTCAGGAGCCACTATAGAAAATATTAAAACATGTCATTATCAACAGTAAAATAAAGAAATAATGTTGTATGACGCTTAGCATCTTCACTGTAGTCAGCAAACTGTACAAGGTGCAAAGAGTCAAACATATACACACCTGGAACAGTGATGTTGGTCTCTGTTGGGGCGGATGGTTCCGGCATCAGAAACATCAGCTCCTTTGGTAGGGGCACAAGTCTCTTTACAGGAAGAGCAGGGGCTGCATGGAGGGATAGCCAAAAGATTTTTGCATTTTATCTGTCAAGAAGAAAATATATATCAGTGAGTTAATGATGTTCACAGGTGGGGTCTAATAGAGAGCAGACTTTAACTGTCTGCACATTCACATTGTGCTATGATATATGTAGTGCTATTTTACTTTGGATCAGATATTGTTGATCTTTGTTCCTGTATGTCTGGAGCTGTGTGTTTGTTGAAACTATTTACACTTCCATTACCCCTCCCCCATGGGTCAAACCCTTTTAACTAACAAAGGGAGCTCAGCCAAGGCTGAATGATATATTAGATAAATAATTACTAAGTAGTAGATGAATGTTATGGATGTGGTTTCAACAGTTCTGGTGTTTAGCAGTGTGTGTGTGTGTGTGTGTGTGTGTCTGCATCTATTATGTATATTTAACCCCGTCTGGGCAACGGCACAGCTGAATATACATAATACTTTTTTATCCAAAAGTAAACTGCTGTTAACTTGTCCCCACGCTGTGTTTTGTAACAGTGATGGGTTAGTATATCTAACCCCGGTTTATTGGAAAATAATACGGGAGTTAATAGTAATCTTACATGGTAGTTAGCGTTAATTTATATATTTAAATATACATTAATGTAAACGCGCACGGAGGATTTCGCCACAAGTAACTCGCGGTAATTGCGCCTCACCAAGTCAACAAAAACACAATAAACTCACACAGAAATCCTACCACATGAACTTTAAGCGGCTTAAGTTGAATTAACTTTACATTAACAATGTAATTCATCCCAAAGTACCGTTAGACTCGATACACGTAGGAAACACGGACCACTTTATAGCGTATTTTATTTTATATTTAAACTAAAACACGTCAGACAAAGCCCAGATAACATAACATTACATGTCGCTTCTCTGTTAATTCATGTTAATATAACTTAACTTACCTTATAATTTGGTCGTAATGTCCAGAGTTGAAAAATATGTATGCATTACGTCGCTGTGAAGGCGGGGGGATGAGCAGACAGGGTCTCACTGGCAAAAGTGCGCCACAGCGCCACTCGCGGCAGCGGCCAAATATATATGACATCGGCTCTGGTTCAACAGTGCCATAGAGACTGGTTTGTTGCTACCATTAAAGATTCATGAAAGAATCCCTGGCCGCCGCGCGGGCCCGTGTTCGATTCCCGTCCAATGCAACACATTCTTTTATGCATGATGGGATGAAATCAGAGGCTGCGACATCACTTTAACTGACTTACACGGACTTGTCCGAGTGAAGGGTGCACTATTCAATCAGGCTGTTTGGCATGTGTTTGCGCTTTGAATTAGTGAAGACTAACTTTTTTATCTTTGTGTCCTCTGTACTTTGTGAACAGAGACCGAACAGCCTCCTCTCTCTACAGATGTGGACATGCGTTGCTATAACAGCTTTCTCAACCTGGTTCCCCCTGAAGTTTGCTCTGTGCCTCTTATCATGCACTGTATGCTGGAGCAGGTCTGTGTATGTATTGTGAGTTTGAAAGTGTAGTGTGGAATCTAGGTGGTTCAATGCTTATTTACCCCAATTTCTTGTTTTCAGGTAGTGATTTCAACAGAGCAGTCATGTCCAGCTAAAGAGTCCAAACCTCACAATGGTCCTGGGTTAGACTATCAGCTGGTCAGCTTCATGCTTCAAAGCTTCCTCCCTCTGGTACATGCTAAAGAAGAGAGAAGTCGCATGTTGAAAGGCTTGCTGGCTACAGTGCAAAATGAAGACGACCAGAAGGTATAGTGTCTCCACACTGAAACACACATTTTGTAAACTATAATATGTATATAGATTTATATATAAATGTGTAGATAACAGGGAGTACACCATCTGATGCATTGGTGGTTCAGTGGTAGAATTCTCGCCTGCCACGCGGGAGGCCCGGGTTCGATTCCCGGCCAATGCAGGATATACTTTTTTGAAAGACATGGTGAAAGGAGAGGCTCGTGTTTCACTGGGCGGTGCCAGTCGCAGGATATACTTTTTTGAAAGACATGGTGAAAGGAGAGGCTCGTGTTTCACTGGGCGGTGCCAGTCTCTTTGAGAACAGTCACTGCTGGCTCGACTGTCTTGTTGAGAGGGCTTTCACAACAACACACGGAATGTAGGGTGTGCTTAAACTGTGACATGTCTATGAACGGCACAAGAGTCCTTCAAGCCCTCCCCCCGTCACTGTGATATAGCGGGGGAGGGTTTAATCCGACAGAGTAGAATGGTCTGCTCTTTCCACACAAAAAGTGTGACCTGTAAACATGAGATAAGCTGTAGATTTTAGTGATAAAGTTAACTGATTAACGTCCAGAACCCATTTGATTATTTTTGTCATTATACAATGAGAGGATGCCATGGCCTATAGTCCAGCACAGGGAAGCCGTATGTAAAAAGAGAGAGCCCATCTCTAATTTATTGTTAACAGACAATGAGAGTTGGCGGAATGTTTAGCTAAAGGGTTGTTGTAAGAAAAGCACAGAGACCAACAGGGATTCAATTTATGAATGTTGCCCAATTGAGATTCAAAGAAAATGTTTGTAATTGTGAGAAACATAACATGTTTTCATGTTTGAATCACCATGGAATTCACCTTCTCAGTGAAATACTGCAAGGCTAGAACAACCTAAGATGTTTACACACCAACCATCAGTTTATAGGGATCACTGGTTATCAATCCCTAATTTGAATTTGTTATGAATTTGTTTTTATGACAACAAATATATTTAAAGCTCCCATGTCATGCTTTTCCGGTTATTACCCGTCCCCTTGTGTGTTATGAAGGTTTTTATGCATGTAAACGGTGTGCAGAGTCAAAACCCTGAAAGTACACCCTGTAGCGAGTAAAACTCTAACACAGAAAATACCTCCCCAAAACGCCTCGTTGGAGATACGTCACTGCCCATTTGATTCTTCCATTTAGTTCCGGGTACCGCCTGATGTCATGCGGTACCCGGAACGAAATGGACCAATCCCGAAGAGCTATGGCCACACCAGCAGCGGCGTGTTCCTCCAGAGGTTCGAAGAACCGGCATTTCACAGACGAAAGCTTCCAAAACATTGCCCAGTTTGAGGCCGGATATGCACAGCTTGTTTGGACCGTTTGGAGCAGGGGAAGATCCGGGTACACAACCTGTAAGTTTGCATTGTTATTTGTGTATTTATCAAACAAGACTGTTTAAATGTGTAAACTGTGTTGGACTGCTAAGCCATTGACACAGTGCTAACTGTGCTAACTAAGTTGCTAGAGTTTCCATATATCAACTCTAATATCAGCAGATGGCCTTGCATACATGTATCTCATAGCAGGAGAATGTCTGCATTCACACACAAAATACCTATTGACAGTATACTCCGGGTGATTTGCCGTGCGGTCAGTCGCGAAACAATTACATTATAGCTGGCGTAGCGTGTATGCAACCGATCTAACACACGGAGCTAGAGCTAGAGCTAGGTTTGGTCGGAAAAACATTTTTGTGATGCTACGTTGCTAGCGTTTAAATATATCAACTACAATGTCAGCAGATGGCCTTACATGTTTGTCATGGCAGGAGAATGTCTGCAGTCACACACACGGAATACTCATACAGTATACTCCGGGTGATTTACCGTACATTGTGACAGTACATATACTGCATGTATAGCTAACGAGGCTAGCTGTATGCTAGCGCAAAACAATGTATTCATGACCGTTACAATGTATGACCGAACGTAGCAGACTACCCGTATAACATTGCAATTATAAACACGTTATTGCTAGCCTAATATGAACCACTAGCTTTTGTTCATAGTAGTTTTATTACTCTACATTATAGTTGCCGTTCCTCCGAGCTAACGTTAGCTACCAAGGTAAACAAAGCTAGGTTAGCATATTAGCTGGCAAGCTGTTCATTAGATTGATTAGATAGATCCACACTCCTACCATAACTACTACTAACGAATCTAAAACAACTAAGTTTCTCTAATATTTTGTGATTTGCATTTGATTTCGTCCAGCCAGATCCTGCCGGACAATACATGACGGGGACCGGACTACCACACTGAGGCCTCGTCCTAAAAAGCCCCGGCTGCTATAGGCGAGATGCCGACAACGGGGAGTAATTGACGATATACCGTGTATATATGTATATTTACATTCATTTTGTACATTTCTAAAAATAAAGTTTAATGGAAATACTATATATAGCAAACCATGATTTGATTTCTCATCAAACAGTAGTAGTTTATAACGGGTAAAAATAACTTACTCTTTGTTATGACCGGCTCGTAGGCCACAACGGAAAGACAAGGAGACATACACGAGTTTACAAAACCACGGCACATTTATTGTGGTAAATGCAGAGATACGTGGTCAGGGAAGAGGATT